TTTGATCTTCATTTCTCTCTGCTCTCTTCAAAGTGACATTTGTTTAGAGGGGTGTTTAAAACGCAGCTTATGTCACAGGAGAAAGTTCACCATGAATAAATAATTAGTTTCCAATCTAATAAATCAGCCCAGGTGTTTATACGACTAATAATTGTGTTTATGTAGAATTTTTAGGTTCTGCCTTACAGCCTCAGGCTCGGACACTAAGAAAAGGCTTTTGTGAAACGCCTCCATCCTGCCGTCTTCGATCGCTTTTTTTTCCCGTGGGTGTGCACGAGTTGAAGGGTCACCCTGTGTGTGTTTAACTGCCCTGGTCTAAAAACCTGGCCCTGCCTGACTGCTGTCTTTGTCTTAGTCTCTGCAGAGTTACTGGACTTTCTTTTGCACGTTGCTGCTGTTCCAGTCTCTGCTACCATACAGGGTTTGCTCTCACTCAGGAGCTGAGGTCACTTCAACTACAAACCTTATATAAGCAACAATTAAACAAAATTAAAGGCCTAGCATACTTTGAAAGGAGCTGTACTATTTTTCGTGACAGCGTTTTAGATAAGATCCTCCTATAGAGAGAAATGATGGTAAATGGACTGTACTTGTATAGCGCCTATAAAGCTAATTGAACAAATCATTCTAAAGAGACTAATCAGTGCTTTATCACATTCATACACCGATGGGACACACATCGGAGGCAATGAAGGGCTCAGTGTCTTGCCCAGGGACACTTCAGCATATATGGCTGGTGGATTTGAACCCCCAACTTTTGCATTGGAGGATGACTGCTCTAACCACTCAACCACAGCCGTCCATGATGATGGAGTTGTAGCGTTTTTTAAATTTTTTTTAATCAAACCTTGAAAGTAACATCATGCACAATCTTATGTGATATTGCAAGATGTCATTCATTCATTCAACCTTTATTTAGACAGGTAAATCCCATTGAGCCTCGAGGACTCATTTACAAGAGAGACCTGATTTCAACAAAGAATGATGACAACAATGGACAACAGCAACAACAATAGACAGTTATAAAAAGGCATACAGATTTTTTTCTTACAAATAAGATGGGAAAAAGAGTAACAAAACAGCTAGATTATAAGGCGAATGTAGAAAACTAAAAACAGGAACATGTCTGCATTGGTCCCTGCCAGGAGTCCAACAGATTCTTAAAGCCAGAGAGGTCAAGGTTGAGAGCTTCAAATCTTTTTGTAAGATATTCCAGGAAACAGGAGCGGAGTAGGAGAAGGTCCTTTTGCCTAGTTCAGTCTGCACTGAGGGAACACTGCAGGTAATAATGTCCTGAGAGCGCACGCTGTAGCTGCACTCACGCAGAGACATGTAGGAGGAGATGTAAGAAGGCAGCAGACCAAGAAGTGATTTAAAGATGAAAATGTACCAGTGAGAGAGTCTGTGTGAAGTTAATGATATCCAGTTAACCCGTGAATACAGGGTGCAGTGGTGGGTACGATAATCACAGCCAGTTCTTACTTATGTCACACTCAGAGTATGTGTTGTGAATGACTCTCAGCTACAACCACACCAATTTACTGCTCAATATTTCAATAATTTTCTGCGGGATCAATAAAGTTCGGTCTTATCTTATCTTAATATCTGTAAAATTGGCTGAGTTATAGTCGTTTTTACGTTTGCCTCGGCCATATAACTTTAGGAAGCTGTGCAGAATTTTGTGGACTCCAAAAGTTAATCAGCTGCATTGGTACATCCAGAAAGTTGAATTAAAATCGGTCTAGTGGTTCATGAAATATTGTGCTAACAGACAGGCACGCAAATCCACACATAGACATGAGCAAAAACATTATCATACGCCTTCACCTTTCAGTGGCGGGTGATAATTAATCCTTATTTGGTTTTACAACAACATCTCCTCTAACTTGTTAGGAGTACGAGCTGCCGGCTTTGTTGTTATTTCACCAGTTAACTGATGCTGAACACAGATCTCACAGTAACGCTCACCCAGGCAACGTTTGAGAGACACTTCAGGACTTAGGAGAATGACAAATGATGTGGAGTAATCTCTGTATACACTCTTCAAGTTCAACCGGAGTTAATTCATTTAGATTTAATGTGGATGTGACAGGAATCATCTGGTGTCCTCATCACTGTCTGCATGGCTCCCCGCTGCCTCTCAGATTTATGTGACTTGCCGCCCACAGGAAGAACAGCCAATTGTTGGGTTGATTTATTTTCTGGACATTTCTTCTTCTGCTCGGTCGGGCTGGCAGCTATTACTGTACGTGATGGATAAACTATAGATTTGTTTTCAGAGAAGACGGTTTTGTTTCATATCGTGCTTGAGGAGTTGTGTTGAAAGCAGCGACGGACATGTTTGACCTCGCTGGCACACTTTGAGCTGTGATTTAACCATTGTAACTTAAACAGTTGTTAGGAGCATTATACCTGAGCTGATGTGGCAACCTCTGCTAATGTCATCAGACTTTTTGGTTAATGTTCAGCAGAATGCAAAATCCCAATAGAAGCAATGAGGTGCACACATAAAAACCCACGACTTCGTTTGAGAATAAACTCTCTTGGAAATGCAACATATTCTGACACTTTAACCCAATGTCATCTCCTTTTTTTATTTTTGTGTTATGTATGTTAGCAGAACATCTACTCTCATATCCTCAAAATGGTTTACAGTTTCTGATATTTTGGTCTGGCAATTTATTTCTACAGTAATTTTTACATTTTTTTAAAAGAGTTACAAATTATTTGAAAGCTTGTATTGCACTTCTGGTAACACAGTGAGTCATCTTCAATCTGAATAACATACTGTAAGTTCACCTAACATTTCATTTACTTATTTATTTGTTTATTTAGCTGAACTTTGCTCAATCACACCAAAAAAAAAAAATCAGTGCAGCAGACAAAACAAGATGATGAAGAATTGCAACCAAATATGCTACAAAACTTACTGAGAGGTCATGAGAGAACATTTTAGATTTTTTTTTTTGTTTTGTTTTGTTTAATGAAGACCAAGGTTTTAGATGTTCAGCTGGGTCTTTGTAGAAGTAAGTGTTTGTTTTAAAGATTCAGGTAAAGAGAATTTTCTTAGTTGCAAGCAAGGCTTCTTGATTTAAGTTTAAAAAAGTATTTTTCATTTATTTAGCGCCTTTCAAGATCAAAATCACAAGGCGCTCTGCTTCAAAGAAATAAAACGATGAGGTAAGAACTTAAATCAGTAAGAAGCCATTAAGAACAGATAAGGAAATGAAAAGCTGCCACATTGCCAATCTAAAAACACAAGTCTGTTTCTTGAAAAAGGCCCACTGTGTCCACAGAACGAAGATGGAAAGGTAGAGCGCTCCAGAGCACTGGGCCTACAACTGCAATAAATAGATAAATAAATAAATGTAAAATAAATTCAAAGAAACTCTATGCAGACCAAAAACATGCATGTTAAGCTGCCTTCAGGCCCAGGCCTCCCTTGCAAAAGAGATCTGTGATCTCAGTGGGATTTACCTGGTTAAATAAAGGTTAATAAATAAATAAATGGAGCTTGTGGGGAAAAAAATCCATGTTTTTTTTTTACATGGTGAAATAAATGGACCAATACAATACAATGCAACCACTCTTGTCTTCTTTCATTGTCTGCTGTAGCATAAACTCTTTTACTGTTTGTCACTAACGAACAGACTCTCCAAACAACACTTCACCAGTGACTGAGCTCTCAGGCCTTTTAAAAAGGAAATTACATCACATTCATATATTAAAAAAAGACCAAACAAAACAAAGGAGAATACAAAAAAAAAAAAAAAAAAAAAGGTTTTGTTTTGTTTCTTTTGCATCACATAAAACACTAAGCACAAGTGATTTGGTGACTGGTTTTCTAAGTAATTAAGATTTCTTTGTTCCTTTTGGCATTTAACACCTTCAGACCTGGCACCGTCTCATTTTGAGACCTGGACCTAGCTTAGCCTGAAAGTTTCACCTTTTTCAAGACAAATATGATTGTTTTACCCTGATCAACAAAATGAAAGAACTATGTACAACAGCTAAGACATTCATTATTTTACTCTTTCCATAGAACCCCACTTTAAAATGTTCATCATAATGGTTTAAGCAACGTTTACTTGCTGCTGAAAGAAACTATGTGAGAAAGCCTGAGTCCAGCTAACTAAGTTGTAGCTCACGGCCGCTCGTGGTGCTGAAATGAAACCTTTAACAGCAACGTTACAGTGGAGTCTCCTGCAGATCAACAAAACCTGAAAACGCTCATCACAATGACCATGGAGTTTCACAGAAACCCCTTTTTTTTTTTTTTTTTTTCCTGAAAACTGAAAGACGAGAGCGCTTGGACCTTTTGATCATTCGCACGATAAAAATCAGGAGTTGAAGTTTGCCCGAGTGTGTTTGAAATACACATGCTCACATTTCTGTGTTGACTTAACATTTAGGGAACTTTAGCTGTCTGTTTTTGTTGAGATAAGCTCAAACAATAAAAGTCTGAGTACCGTAAATGTCTTTTCGAAGGCTTATTGTTGTGCATGCTGCCACTGCCAACATGCACCCCCACTGTTTATGTGCATGTGCTATTTCTAGACTAAAATACTCCCAGAAAATTGTGTTGGGAAGAAGGTGTGTTTTGTACAGAGCAACATGTGTATGTGCGTGTTTTTGGTGCAGGAAAGCTTTTTTTTTCTTGTTGAAGAGGAAAACCAGACTGCTCACAGTGACTCCACTGTGTTTGAAGAGTTCCTCTCGGTGCTGCTGGATGCTCACTCAGTGGCTCTATTAAGAAGAAGAGTGGTGAAGAAATATGTCTGCAGATGTCTAGTCCAACTCTGTGCACAGCCCTTCCCATGGATGGAATAAGCTGTTCAGACACACACACACAGTCATGGAGAGAGCCTTGGTACTGAACAATGACATGCAACTGCCCAGGATGTCTATGTCACTTCCCGTGTTTGTGAGAAGTTATTTGGTGTTGCTGTGGAAACCAAATGTAATATTGAAAAATCCCCTCTGTGTGGCTCTGTGTGCAGAGAAAAGTCAGTCCATCAGGGAGAGCCAGGCCTCGTCGCCGACCCTGGCTGCAGCTGTCAGATTGTCGGCGATGATCCACGGCAAAGACCAAGTGTACGCCAACGCCATGCTGGTCAACCAGGTGAGACAGGCTGACATTTTAATTCTGTCATTAAGTTACAAATATGCAATGTATAACATTATTATAATTCAAATACTCTGCTTAGATTATAAAGTGTGAAACGTTTCATAAGCATAAACATTTCATGTCTTTCTCACGTTTTTGCTCCAGGTGGATGGCTCTGACGTTAAGTATCGCTCTCTAGGAGAAGAGGAGGAGGTCAGCTCTGCATCTCCTGTTGGTATGTCCTGCTGGGATTCTTTTTCTTCAACTCCCTTTGACTCGGAGAACTCTCAGAACCGTTCCCACTCATCACCCCATCACGGGCCGAGGGGAAGTCAGGGCCCCGGGCTGGACAATCACAAGGAGGCAAACCCTCGCATCTCTCCCCCTTCTACATCTTTTCCTTCCTCTTCCTTGGCTTCCGCCGTCCATTTGTTCGAGGGAGCACAGAGGCGCCGTTCACCCACGGGCCCTCCACTCTCTCCAGCTTTGAAACATGGAGGATGCAGCTTGAGCGAGGCAAACCGTAGTCTGAGGTAAGACCCTGTTTCTGCTGCATCTTTAGACACTAACGAAGGGTAAATTATGTTAAAAACTACTAATGCAACTGCGTGTTTTGTTGTGCAACGTTAGATGCGACATTTGAAAAGTTTTAGCTACTGTGATGCTTCACATCTTCTTTTTTTCATTCAACCTTTATTTAGACAGGTCAATCCCGTTGAGCCTCGAGGACTCATTTACAAGCGAGACCTGATTTCAGCAAAGAAAGATGACAACAGCAACATCAATAGACAATCATAAAAGAGGCATACAGATTTTTTTTAAAACAAATTAAAATAAGATGGCAAAAATAGCAAAAAATAGCTAGATCGTAAGGCGAAAAACTAAAAACAGGAACATGTCTGCATTGGTCCCTGCCAGGAGTCCAACAGATTCTTAAAGCCACTTCTCAGACCAGTTCTGTGATAGTAAACTATGAAAACGTCAGTGGCGCTGACAGAAATAAGTTTTTCCTTCAGATTTGCTGAATAATTTCACCAACGTGTTTCAGGGCCTCAGTTTTTGTCCATTTTATAACTAGAAGTATTTTCAGTGGGTACCAGTCTGGGTTCACATGCAGCAGAGTGGGGTTTGGCATTGTTTTGCTGAAATAAGCATGGCCTTCCCTTACCTTGATGACAGCATCTCTTTCCACTTTCTAAATGCTTCTGAAGCGCATTCCTGTCAAAATCAAAATGAGAAGCTACATTTTTTTGTTTTAAAATTCCATATTTTCTAATTTTCCAAATTTTCTTGTTAGGCTGGTGGTTATATTTAATGAATGCAATGTTTAAATGATTTGTCAGTGCTGACCAGACATAGTTCATGCCTTCTTTACAACTCGACTTGATTACTGTAATGCACTTTACGCTGGAGTCATCTCCCTTTCACGTCTCCATCTTGTCCAGAATGCTGCAGCTCGACTCTGAACAGGAATTTGTAGGTTTGATTAAATTCAATGTATTGTCCTCCCTTCACTGGATCCCTGTGGGTCACAGAATAGGTTTTAAAATTCTCTTCTTGACTTATAAATGCCTAAATGGCCTTTCAGCCTCATATCTCTCCCACTTACTTCAACCTTATGTTCCTTCGTGGGCATTGAAATCATCTGATCAGCTGCTTTTGGTTGTTTCGAAAACCAGGTTGAAGCTCAGAGGAGATCAGTTGTTTTCAATGACTCCTAAACTTTGGAACAATCTGCCCCCCAACATTAGACAGGCCTTTTCACTCCGTTTTTAAATCTCTTTTAAAAACACATCCGTTCTCTCTGACTTTTAACCCCGTGTGAGTTAACTCAGGCTTATGTGCGTGTTTGTGTATTTCTGTGTGTGAATAGCCCCAGTCTGGAGTGTGACAGCGAAGAGGAGGACATACTGGGACGCTCGCATCCCTGTACGGCCGTAAAGCAGAGGTCCATTCTGTGGTCCAGCTCAGGAGAAGAGAGAGACTCCTTTGACACTTCGCCTGATTTTAACTGCTCACACTCTGACAGCACGTCCACGTTAAACCAGGTACACGTCGTTTCAGTGTAAGAAGATGAAAATCAGTCTTGGCGTAAACGTTTTAAGAAATCTTTTCTGATTGAGTAATATTGATTCCAAACCAAAGTAAATCAAGGTTTTACTGTATGAAAGGAGATTATTTCAGTACTCTCAATATTTCTGTAATAAAATGATTGTGGACTCCATTTATCCTTCCACAAAACATATCCTCCATTACAAGTTTTACATCAGACACACAGCAGACAGTCATTACTGGATAGGCCCACGTTGTCGACAGCTGAATAACGTAGACAAAAGGTCAGAGATAGGTCTGTTTGCCCTGCAGCGTTTGCTCTTCTCCAAGTATCTCTCTTCCCAGTCTGAGTTGTGAACTTTTGATGTGTTTGTTTATTTTAAACCCAGAATTCAGAAGATGCCGAGGTCCGTCTGCGCTCCTACTCCTACTCCTCCCCCAAAGCAAAGCCATCACGGCCGCTGTTAAACCGAGACGCAGCTATCACCGACCTGGAAGAAGGTGGGTTTAACCTCTTTGTCCTGTTGACGTCTCTGTTCTTATGAGCCGACAAATGTGCCACAAGTCTAACAAGGAAAGACTGAACAAGCGTCCTGAGTCACTGAGGTGGGGTGAACACAAGTGTGCATCATTAAGGCCATGCTTTATTCTGTGTAGATGGCCATTTCAGCAGCAGTGGTCGGTTTCTACTTCAGGCGTTATCTCTCTCTAAGTCCCTGTCGCGTCTCAACCAAGTTAGTAAGTACAAGAACAGCATCGAAGCAGCTCAGAGGCTGCAGGTTGATTGTCTGGTGAAAAGATTTCAGTGGGACTTTTGGCTCTTTTCCTGGGACAGGCGTGTAAAAATCCAGAGCTGCATGATTAAAAGGTAACTCACTATAATAAACATATATGTTCAGAGTCAGTCAGAGTTTCTTTGTCATTCGCACCTCATGTGGTACATGTGGTGGAACGAAATTATGTACACAGGGTCCCAGTTACATCAAACAATAAAATGTAAAAGAAAAACAGTAATAACATCTAAGATATGAACTAAGAAAAACATCAACTAAATATACACTAAGCACTGATAACATAAAAACATTACGTCGAACATCAGCACAAACATGAGCATGAGTCTGTGTGAGCAGATGAGCACGCATGAACACATCATCATTGAAACAGATCAGCAGCAACATCAGGGTTTAAAATTAAACTTGGTGATACAAATAATTTCCATGCCCATTGTTTGCTACAAAGTAAATTTTGCAAATTGTTTCTCGTTGTTGCCTTAATCGTGCGGCTCTGTATCGGTGGTGGGATTTCATTCTTCGTGGTCGGGACAAGACCACTGTCTCACAAAACCCCCAACATATTTTTACTTGTCCAGTAATCAAAAGCAGACCTTTTCCCGAACTTGATTATTCTTTCCCCTGAATATTAAAATAATAGTTTTCCCAAAAGTAATTTATAAAACACCATAAAAGGATCGACATGTTACGAGCTGGGGATTTAGAAGAATGTTCAGCTCCTGTGGATCATTTGAAGTAACAATTGCTTCTGATTTGAGGGGTTTGTTCTGCTTCTTTTTGGTCACGTTTTGGTTTCCTGCTTTTTTCTTTCTTCTCTGTCATCTGTTTTGTTTCGAGGAAAAGTTGTGTTTGTTATTTCTCCGTTAAGGTTTGCGGGATCTCGACCTTTTATATAATCCATGTTTTTGTCACCGCATTTTAATCTAAGCAGGGTCAGTGCTTCCTAATTCTGTCAGCTGATGTTATGACTCTTTAACCATATGGTGAAATAAATCAACCTGTATTTATGGCTAACTAATTTGCTTTTCACATTTATTCTACCCTACAGAGCAGAGAGCGTTCAGTCTGACGGAAACACCCAGAGAGAAAAGGTAAAAGCAGCGTGTCATGTCATGAGCTCTACTGAGCTGGCCTCGCTCAGTTGTTCCTCCCTTTTTAGGCATCAGTGTTGAGCGTCGGAAAGAGATTGGCTCAGATGGAGCCTGCATGTGTGTATACATGTGTGGGGGGATGTATGTTTGCGCCTCTCTGGTTTTAAACTGGCCAGGGTCTTAGCATGCAGGATATGACATGCTTCCTGTTGCGAGGCAGGGGCAAGGGTTTTCTCTAATTGCGACCTCAAAAAAAAAAAAAAGTAAACAGAAAAAAACTTTGGGCTTTCTTGTCCGAATTTAGAAATGTCTTGCTCTTTTCTAGACCACATCAATGATCCTGAATTTTCCTGAATTTGAGTGTTTTTTAGTGTCGATCTAAACACTTGTTCTGAATTAACATTTCCCACGTAACACAAATAGCTCATTTGCCTTTGTTCATGCTCATTTACAGTCAGTTTCATCCAACTGCCTCATAAAGCCATCATGTGCTAATATGTTTTACTTGCTAATAACCATGCTCTGCTAACAGAGGACACACTGTAGGCAATTCAATCATAATGTTAGCTCCTTGTATTATTGCACTACAAATAATCACATACATACAATATTCACAACACTCACCAACCATTTTGTTCTCAGAATAAATATTTAGTATTAACAAGACATCAATATGCCGCAAGCATTTGCTAAAGTACTTGGTGTCGGGGCAAAGGTTAGACAAACACTGACCCAAGTAATTAATCCTAGAAGTAGTTTATAAGTTTTATTTGTACCTGTCACTAGATTTTTCTTTTCTTTTTGAAAAGCAGGGACACATCGACCTGTCTGAGGTGTTTTATATCCATGCAGGGTTCTGGGTTTCCGTAAGCGGGCCCAGTCAGCAGAGGAGGAGAGCACCGCGTCACTCCAACACCTCACCCTCACAGAGTTCCTCAAAGAGTATGTCTTCATCCAAAAAAGAGGGCCTCACAGACGTGCACGTGTGGCTTAACTCGTTCTAAATTTGTAGTGAAACCGTCCTCCAGCTCGTCCTTTAACCACGTGCATTCTTTGCATTTGTATTGGGTGATGCAGGAATGTGCCGTAGCTGCTTACAAAAACATTTTCCTGTAAGATATAAATATAGATAGGTGAGAATGGTGCATGTCTCTCTTCTTCCTTTCTGTCAGTGTTTTCTTTAACCTAGAATCCTATTGTAACTGACTTCAGCTGCTGTAAATAGATGACGAGATATGAATTACGTTTTGCCAAGGTTGTACTATTAATAGCAACTAGAGTCTATAGTGGGTCCCAGCATGCCAAGCATGTTATTAAGAGTAATAATCTGTAGAGCAGGGGTCCTGGAAGTCTGAACATTCCTTCATTCCAGCATGACACTACTGTTCCTGATTAGTCAACTCTTTCCAGTCTAATAAAACACTAAAACAACAACTCGTTTTGTAGAAAGAGCATTAAACGTTGCATTTAAATGCTGATTTCTGGCCAGCGTGATGTGAAAGTGACTTATTTTCTACAACATGATCCAGGATTGAAGATGAGGAGTGGGATAGATATATTATCCCATCTAAGGTTGAGTCGGAGAAGTACAAAGTGAGCCGGACCTTCAGCTTCCTGAAGAGTAGGATGTCCAGCACCCGCAGCAAAACCAAGGTAAGCCAGCACCGCAGACTTTGTTTCAGTGAAAACAAAACCCTCGCTGGCTAAGATTTTCTCCAACATGTGTCTCAAATGTGACAGGGATACACTGTAGTTGACCTTTCTAGTAAAAAAAAAAAAAAAAAAAGTCAGTGCTGAAAAGACGACTAAAGTAAAAGTTTTACCAGCTCTCAGAAAGGACAGGTCAGAATTCCTCTGCTGGAGGTGCTATTGTCTGGTGTTGTGTCTTTATTTGGCAAAGCAGGAACATTTCCTCTCTTTAGGACTAAGCAACAGGACACAGTGAAAAGAGTTTCTTATGTAACATGTTAGACCCCCTCCCTAAAGAGGCTAAAAACCCAAAGCACATTCTGTAGAAAACTTATAATCCTAGGAACATATGTTTATATGTGCTCAAAGGCCTGCTTCTTTGTACTAGAACAGCAACAAAATAAACACACACTCTTCCACTTCCTAGCAAAGTTTGAGAAGAAAATAAATATGGCTCTATTGTGCACATACAGAAAGAGATCCTCCTAATGCCCCCTGAGGTTAAGGCACTACAGCAGCCGCTGTCCCCCACGGACCCTAACAATGAAAACAGAAAAAAAAGACTCCTAGGTTCCTTTATCTAAAGTGCCATATCTTTGGTGGTTTACATAATATTGTAGTTTTAATAGTAAATGGCAGGAAATTTGAAAGTTTGTGTGACTTTTTCTTTCAGGTTAAAGGGAAGGAGGTGAAAGAGGGAAAGTCAGGAGCAGCTAATGGGCACCAGTTTGTTCCCGTGTCTCCATCTGGTTCTTCTCCCTGTGTGGCCTGTGAGAAGTCTGTTTTTGGGAAGGAGCTGTTGCAGTGCTCCAGTAAGCATTAAACTGTCAGGACTGGTGTTGTTTTTATGTCCTGTGGCAGCTTGAAATGGCTCGAGATTGTTTAAATATCATTGTTTTATTTTGACAAAAGATAAAAAGTCAATTAATTAAAAAAAAAATGCCAGACATGTTTTAATAAATCTGTTTATTATCAGATAACATGAAATTAACAGGAATTACTTCTGTCCTCGTCTACAGACTGCTTCCTGAACGTCCATAAAAACTGCAGAGAGTCCATTGCAGCCTGTGGAAAGGTACCATCTCATTTGATGTCATGTTACCTAGAAAAAATATTTCAAAGTATTTTGAAAATCACTACTCGTTAAAAAGAACATATGTTTTTATTGAACTGTGAACTTCTGTTGCATTTGAATGTTTTTTTTTTTTTTTTTTACAAAAATAATAACACATTTTGTTTACAGGCACAATGCAAAACACCCTAGGCTACCTTATAAAATGTGTTTAAAAACTATTTTTTTAAAATCACTGCAATAGTAAAAACAAAACATACAGAAATAAATAACTAAATTAATTAAACAACAGAAACCAATGTTATAAAGAAGGAGATTATAAACAAAAAGGCCCCATAATAGAGCCTTGGGGGACTCCATAAGGGACTGGAAGAAGCTGAGACTTAAGGGATTTGATTTGAATAAATTGACTACAGCCAGACATGTACCGGTATATGACTTTGGTTCTGGTTCTGAGCTGCAAGTGGTTCTCCAAAAATTATTCAGCTGTCTGACTGCAGTTTGCTAAAGATCATCTAAATAAGGTTCAAGTTATTTTTTTTTTTTAAGTGTAAAAATAAGACCAAGTGAAGCGAATATAATTTTTATCCCATTTGTGATGATGGAAAAACAAAATGTCAAATAATACCAGTAATTTTAAAAGAAATATGACAGTTATCAGAACTAAATCTTGGGGAAACGTGGGTCAAGTAGGAAAACAGATACTAAAAGCTCACATGATGTTCCATCGAAGTATGATTATAGAAGGATAAAATTCATGTTTTGGAAAGTTCAAATCAGATCCTTGACTTTGATCCAATCGAAATGTTGTGAAAGGACCTGGAGTTTGAGGTTTTTCTTGAACGGGGGAGTCTCATCAGAAACTGAGGGTGAGGATCTACATTACTTTAGCCTCTTACAAATGTGGATTATTGGATCATTCTACACAAAAAAAGCAACTGACTAAAATATATTTGTGTCTAGTTTTATGTTTTTTCCCCAATTCTTCCTTAGAGACCGAGCTACAGTGGTGTTTATGCTATACAAAACAGAGAATTGAAAAGTGCACCACAGTATGTGTGCATGGTTTCAGGGCTCAAAATAAACTTCCCATCAAGGCCCCCTAAAATCTGCACACTCACGTTACATCAGGTCTTTATGAGGTAAACCAAAGTAAAAAGGAACTTTTTTTTTTCCTCAAACGCACAATATCTCAGCTGTTTATTTGTATTTGTCTGGGTATTCTCTGCATAGTTTTACTAACAGACAAACAGAGCACAACGCATTTTCCCCTCCATTAAATGCACATTTGTTTCACAGTCAATCAGTTGCACTGTAAATTTTACGCATCAAAGTGAGCAATTTGTCACAGTGAGCGCTTGTGAGCCTGAGCAAACAGACTGTGTACGCTTGCCCGAGCATTCTGTTAACAAACCAGTGACACACGCAGAAGTACTCGTACTTTAAAATAAACCTCGGCAGCTTTGTTTCACACGAAGAGCTAACAGTTTCAGAGCTGAAAATTGATCAAGCTGAGGAAAAGTTACTGCACGGTGAGGATTTAACAATTAATTTAAGTAACACTTGATGGAATGATTTGTAAAATCTACTGCAGCACCTTTTCGTGAACGCACACAGATTTACAGCCGTTGATGTTAATACAGTTATGTTCGACTCGCAGAAGCCGCAGGAGAGGAATGCAGTGCTGATGAAAAGCAAGACTATGTCCCTCCCACAGAGTGAGTGCCCCCCCACGAAGCCACTAACATTGTAAACAGTGTTCTCCTCTAGTTTTTGATTCATTGAGTTTTTCACCTGTCCTCCCTCGCCCTGTAGTTCAGTAAACCACTGCTTTTCATCCCCCGCTTTTCCCTGTTAATTTTTAACCATCTCAGTGGAGGATCAGGCCTGGATTGTCATTAAATGTGTATTTTTGTGAGAATATGGGGGTTTGAACTTTACTTTAAAGTGATAATATTGTTTTGTATTTCACCGTAAAGTGTTATATGTGATAAAGGTGTTAAATTTGCGTGCAAAGTGTTTGTGCAGTGGAAAAACCTCCACAGAGAGACTGATTCCTCTTCCTGTTGATCTTTCCTTTTAGACTTTGGGAGAGAAAACTCTTCAGCCTTTTCATGTTCGTCCTCCTCTTCAGTTTCATCTGTGACCAGAGAAGGGAAAAGAGAAACAGTCACTTCATTTTCTAAAAGCCAATCTATCTCCATAGATAGCCGGTACAGCCATTTAAATATTCCACAAATTAACTTATTTGTAATTTATTTATGGTCTTTAAACATATCTATGTACATCCAGTGATGTAGTGATGTGAATAATTTATGTAAATCAGCGTGTCCAGAGGTATGACATTTAAAATATTCTATACATTCAGAAATAAATACTGTACGTTAGTGATTAGGTACTGAATTAATAGCAATGGCACAGTTTTGCTGTCCAGTAGGCCTGTCGCAATAAACAATAAATCAATGAATTGCTTGATAAATTAAAATTAGTGACCTCATTTTCATTTACCGGCTTTATCGTTTCTTTATGTCTCTCACTTTCTACTGAAGACGCTGGATGAGAAAAAGTCTCAACCCCTGTGCTCTTCACTAACCCCTCCCTTTCTCTTTTATTTAAAAACTCTTTGAACCGTCCAAAATCATGTTTTTGGATCGTTAAAAGCAGCTAAGCTGAGAAGCTAAGCTAACAGGCCGACCTCGAGGAAAAAAACCTCCGTCTTGTCGAAGCTCCAATATTCAGGGTTGAAACCCATGCCTTTGTGTAAAAAGTTGTTTTTCTCTGCAAAAAGAAGCTGAGAACGTATTTACTGATTTTTTTTTATTAAAAGCTTTGTGTGAAAAATGCTATGCTAAAGAGCTCAAACCACACCGATCGTCCGCCATTTTGAGAACCAAAAAACAGGAAGGAGAGACAGCCTATGTCACATCAAGGGGCCTCTCTCCCATTTCTCTTAGACACGCTGCTCGCTCCCTCACTATCCATCCTTCTGTTCAAACAATCTTATACTGCCATCCGGTGGTCGAAAAAAAGGTACTACACTCAAAACAAATTAACCAACATTTCTTTTTAAATTTGACAATAATTACTAATTATTGTCAAATTTAAACAATATTATCATTAATCGCAATAATTTCTGAGACAATTACTCGCCCAGCTAAAGTTGTTATCGTGACAGGCCTACTGTCCAGAGTTGGAATTTGAAAATGTCCATGTGACTGAAACTGTAGTTCACATACATGTTGTCAACAAGCGTGTTCAGTCCTAACGTTGCTTCCCAGCAGAGGGTTGAGTGAAACAGCAGGAGCGGACAGTGACTTCAGCATGATGGCTTGTCCTAACAGCTCACTGTATGAAGAGGGAGCACCTGTGACAACAACTCCCCCGTCCATCGACCTGCCTAGCAGCACAAAGGGTCAGGAGAAAAAGACCTACAGGGTTTAGAGCCAATTAAACTGCGATCCAGAAGAGGCAACTTATTCACTCTGGTTGTACCTACAGATTCTGTTGACGCTCATCTACTGAATGACCTGTCAGCTGACCTGCTGGGGCTCGAGGCCGAGTCGTGGAGTCTCGCAGTCAGTCCAGAGTTCTGCCGACAACACGACAGGCGCACCATCAAACGGCAGAATGTGATCTACGGTGAGACTTTGAATTATAATCATATTGGATTTGACAGGACAGAAACCACCTGGACTGTATGCTTCAGGATGTGAATGTGATCTGTTTACTTTTCCTGCGTTGTGCCCTGAGAGGACTTTAGCTGTGACATGTTGCCATATAAATAGTCTGAATTTATCTTTGTTTATGCCATTATTTCACCCAGCAACTGAAAGAACCACTTGTTATACACTTCTGATGGTTGAGCCAAAGCTAATTGCAAATCAGATAGGACAAACACACCAAGAATTATTGAGGATACTTGACTGAGCCTGAAGGAAGGATGTACTAATCTTATCTGTGATAAGATGCTCCGTGGTTTGATGAAGGGCAACACTTTGTGCTTTCTGGAACGTTTTGAGACTATTAAATGAGTAAATTGGACTGACATGTTTCAATTCTTTTTAAAAGTCTTTGATTGGTTTTAATCTTTGGTTTTAAAAGTCTTTGGTCTGACCCTTTCTGCTAAAGGCTTAGTAGCATCGTGCAACCAAGCAAGACTGTCAGAATTTGAAAGCGCTTGTGTCTGTGTGTGTTTATTTGTCTGTTGTTTTAACAAAATATTTTTTGAACCAGTGATATGATTTAATGGAACTCTCAGAAAATAATTACTGTACTGTAAAACCTATTGACTTTTGGAGTTAACTCTAGTCAAGATGGGCGCCACAGCTAATCAACGTTACAGAATAAAAACGGTTGTAACTCCATCGCTTTTATAGATATCAATCTTAAATTTAATGTGGTAGCAGCTGAGAGTCATCCCGCACATACACTGAGAGTGAAAACAGATCGCATGAGATTTTGCGACATTTTTCAAGATGAGATGATCTATAGTTCCAAACTCTGGAATGAAAGATACTTCAAGGAACACTAGACCTTTTATTAAATATGTAATGATAATTACCTGTATTAAGATATCCTAATTTACCTTTTATTGCTGATGTTCTGCCATTATTACATTACATTATTACATTATCACCCACACCTGCCTCCACCCTCATTTGCCCCACTCTGGGCCCTTGAGCAAGGCCCTTAACCCCCACCATCTGCTCCCAAACAGGTCTCTCTTGACAATGAGTTCTTGTGGCTCAATGAGACTACCTGCATAAATAAAGGGTAAACACATTTTTAAATCCCTTCTTGAAATCACCTCCACTAAGATTTTTTTTTTTTTAGCTCTCGTTTTATTTGTATTAAGACCAAAACATCCCCACAGTAATGATGAGGTGCTAGGCCTAATGTTTATAGAATAAAATCAGTCATTCAGTGTATTATAAAAAAAAAAAAAAGTTTGACACTGGGACAAAAAAACAGCTGAAAAATAACTCACCACAAAACCATAACAGAAATAGGAAGAGTTTGACAATGAATTTGACCCAGGACTTTGTCAACAAGTGACTGGGAGCTTCTTTAAAAATGATCTCAAACGGTCATGCTTCGCTCGTAAAAATTACATGAGTTTATGCCAATCACAAGAGACCAGCATCTTGTTATAAGTACCAAAGTAATGCTCCTCATTAGAGCATGGGATGCTAGGCTTACCCCTCAGATTACACTCCACCTAATTGTTCATAGTAAATTACAGACTGTGGGAAAGAGTTACCCACAAAATATCTCGCTTGAGCTGGTAAATATACATTTTTACCACAATCTATTTTATTTCCCTTCCTGTAGAGCTGATGCAGACAGAGCTGCACCATATTGAAACCATGACGGTCATGTCGGAGGTGTTCAGGAGAGGCATGTTGGAGGAGCTGCTGCTGGATGGGGACTATGTGGCTCGCATCTTCCCATCTTTGGACCCTCTGCTGGTCTACCACAGGAACTTCTTCAGAGCGTTGCAGGAACGCCGGCAGGCTGCGACCCAAATGGACAACTCACAAAATTACCACATACATCGAATAGGAGATATACTTCTTCAGCAGGTTGGTGATGAGGGATTAATCACTCAGTAATACACTGATGACTCGGGACCCGAAAAGTCCCAGGTTCAATCCCCAGTCATTGCACATCCTGTGGTGACTCTGAGCAGCACACCACATCGCTCCCCAGGCGCTTTCATTAGCTGTCCACTGCTCCACCTGGGGGTAGATGTGTTAAATGCAGAGAGCCAATTTTGCCATTGTATGGGAACATATAATGATGACAACACACAACATATTATTATTATTATTATTATGAGTACAGTAGTCCCTTGCTACTTCATGCTCTGTTTTTCGTGGACTCACTGTATCGTGGTTTTTCAAAGTAAGATTGGACATGACAGTCAGGCTGATTGATGGATGAGCCACACGATCGGCATGGATTTTTTTATTTAAAAGAAATTATTTTAGATTATTTAGCACCTTTGTGCAGCCCACAGCTGAAGGAGAAGCTTCCTCCTGCAGCATGTCATATCTCTGCTCTGCAACAGAAAAGTGGGCGTGGCCAAGAACGCTGGCAGATGGCAGCGTGCAGCCGGAGGCAGAGAGCTGAAATCATGACATGCTGTGCTCTTTTAGAGCATTTAGAGTTTAGAAACATTGTTTAGAATATTACAAGAGTATATATACATATATATGTATATAAAGGCCCACACTCTTGCAATATTCTAAACAATGTGTCTAAACTCTAAACATTCTAAAAGAGCACAGAATGTCATGATTTCAGCTCTCTGCCTCTGCTGCTCTCAGCCACCTGCAAGCACTCTTGGCCACGCCCACTTCTCCATTCTGCGCGGAGAACAGCTGATCAGCTGGTCAGCTGCAGGAAGCAGCTTATCCTGCAGTATGGGCTGCACAGAGGTGCTGGAGGAAACTTTTTCGGCAACTCTGGGTTGCACAAATGTGCAGCTGGTGCTAAATAATTTAAAATAATTTATTTTAAATAAAAATTCCATGCCGATCGTGCGGCTCATCCATCAATCAGCCAATTGTGTGTCACGTCCAATCTTATTTTTTACAACCGCGATAGAGCAAGTCCATAATAAATTAACCAAAGTCGTGAGGGACTACTGTATTCCTACTTCACAGTTTTCACTCATTGCGGGGCTTCAGGGTACAGATCCCCAGTGATAAACGAGGGACTACTGTACTCGGCTTTTGTTCTTGTCTTTCAGTTTTCAGATGAAAATGCAGAGAAGATGAAGCAGATGTACGGCAAATTTTGCAGTCACCACATCGAGGCTGTTAATGTCTTCAAAGAGCTACAACAGCAAAACAAAAAGTTTCAGAACTTTTTCAGGGTATGGTCTCATTCCCAGATATTGTTTATTGGAATTATGCAGTAAAATATGTGGACTGAACAAGTAACGTTTTCCTTTGGATGTATACTTTTTTGTCTCAGCAACAGAGCAACAACTCTCTGGTCAAGCGAAGAGAAGTGCCAGAATGCATCCTGCTGGTCACGCAGCGCATCACCAAGTATCCTTTACTGCTGGAGAGGATAATACAGTACACTCAGGGTAACTCAGCTCTTCTGTGCCTTAAGAAAATCTGCAGCCCCAGTTTCAAACAAGTTGTGACATGTAAAATGTAAATAAAAACAGAATGTAACAAAGTCATATTTCACAATAATAAACATATCTAATGTGTAAACTAAGAAACTGAACAGTTAATGGAAATAATGTAATTTTGAATTTGATGGCAGCAACATATCATAGAAAAATTGGAACAGGGCAATAAAAGGCTGTAAAAGTAAATAGTATGAATAAGTAACACCTGGATGTGCCTTTTACAACTAAGGGTGTCCGAGATGGAGTAGAGGCAGGGCGGCCGACCTGGGACCAGAAAGCCTGGGTTCGACTCCCCACCATTCCCGCATTTCGTGGTGTCCCTGAGCAAGACACCATAATCGATCCCCGGGCCTTTACATAGCAGCCCACTGCTCCACCTGGGTGTACCTCACGTGTGATGGGTTAAATGCAGAGAACTAATTTCACCATTGTATGGGAACATACAATGATGATGCCAACACATTATTTTACTTTAATTAATTGGTAACAGATCAGAAAGAGGACTGGGGATACAAAAAGAGCATGTTAAAGAGGCTGACTCTCTTAGAAGTAAAGATGGGCAGAGGTTCACCTGCCTGCATAAAGTGACATCTTAAAATAGTGGGAAAATTTCAGAATAAAGTTCCTCAAAGGAAATTTGGTAAGACTTTATCACCTCATCTACAGTTTACAATTTCATTAAGGATTTCTAGAATCTGGAGAAATCTTTGTTCACAAGGGACAAGGCTGAAATCTTCAGTCCTCAGGCGGCGCTGCATTAAGAACAGGTCTGATTCTGCTTTAGACATCTCTGAATGGGCTCAGGATCACTGTCTGTAAACACAAGTTCTTTCATGCCATTCACAAATGCTAGTTAAATCTATACAGTGTGAAGAAAAGTCTTAAATGAACACCACCCAGACTCAAAATGTGACATTCTTTTGGAAATCACAGATGCCATATTCTCAATACCAAGGCTCTCCGATGGCGTGGGGTGAACTTGTGTCTCTGGAATGGATCTGGAAAGGTACCATCGATGCAGAAAAGTATAAACAGGCTTTGAAACAATCCAAATGACGTCTTTTTCGGTGCCTGCAGTCCCGACTTCAGACCCATTGAAAACATTTGATGCATCATGAAACAAAAAAATCTGTCGAAGAAAACCCAGGAGTGTTGAACAGCTAGAATCCTCCATCAGACAGGAATGGGACAAGATTCCCTGTAAAACCTCCAGCTGCTGGTCTGATCAGTTCCAGATTGTTGCTAAAAGAAGCAGGGATGCTTCTCAGTGGTAAACATGGTCCAGTCCTACTGATTTTGGGATGTTCTGCTACCACCGAATTCAAAATTACCTCTTCATTTATTAAATGGTGCAATTTCTTAGTTTAAACATTTCATATATTTACTATCTTCTATTTAAAAAATGTGTTTATGAAATTTGCAAACAATTGTATTCTGTTTGTACTAACGATTGTACACATCTTACATATAAAAGCAGTCTTGATCTTGTTAAATCATCTTTAGAAGCAACTACAGAAATAGTAAAGCAATTACTTTTTATGTTCCTTTTGAGTTGACATTAGTTTAATATTGTAGCTTTACAGGAAATTATTTGTTTTTATACTTGGTAAAATAAGTATGTGGTACGGTATGTTAATACTCTTGGTGATTGGTTAGCGTTTAATGAAGTTCTGTAGATATTTACTTTGACAGCAGCTTAGCTGAGACACTGTTTTGTTTCATGAACACGTTTGTTACTTTTGTTGCTACTCTTTCCGCCACAGAAGGAAGCCAGGAACACTCCGACCTGTCAAGTGCGTTGGCTCAGATCCGTTACATCATTACAACAGTGGACCTGACTGTTAGTAAATATGAGAGATCTCAGGAGCTGCAGGAAGTGCTCGCCAGGCTCGAAACAAAGAGCTTCGCCAAGCTCAAGAACGGCAAGGTGTTCCGCAAACAGGAGCTGCACAGCCAGCACAGAGACCTGCAGCACAAAGGTCTGGTCTACTGGAAGACTGCCACAGGACGTCTGAAAGGTGGGAACGAGATTGGGCCACTCACTCATTTCATTTTTGATTGAGGACAGAAGTTTCACTTATGTGTCTTGTCTGCAGACACTTTGGCTCTTTTGCTAACGGACGTTCTGGTTTTCCTGCAAGAGAAAGACCAGCGTTTCATATTTGCATCCGTGGTAAGCATCAGTCCAAACCCTGCTATGGAACTCAATCTAAAAGCTTTCTATCCTGTAACGTTTCTGTGGGGCGGGTTCACTCAATCAGGACCAGAAGCCTCCAATAATTCCACTGCAGAAGCTCATTGTTCGAGAAGTAGCCAATGAGGAGAGAGGAATGTTCCTTATCTCTGCATCCTCTGTGGGGCCAGAGATGTATGAAGTTCACACCACCACCAGAGAGGAAAGGAATGCATGGATGAGACACATCCGACAGACTGTAGAGAGGTGTGTGTACCCACATGTGGTCCACATCAAGCCTGCACTGTTTGTCAGTTCAGAAGATGTGTGTGTGTGTGTGTGTGTGTGTGTGTGTGTGTGTGTGTGTGTGT